AGGTCACGTGGGATTTGTAGCGGACAAAGTGGTATTGGGGCAGGTTTTCTCCGAGTATTTCGGTTTCCCCTGCCAATCTTCATTCCATCAATTGCTCCACAATCATCATCATCTATCATCCGGGGCTGGCCGCAGTGCCAAGCGGACTCAGCCTCACTCACTGAGAATAGCAAGGAAAATAAAAAATAATACATACTCTTCTGTTATTCCCTCTTACCTCTCTTTTCCTCATAGGAGATCTTATGTACTGAAAAGTGCTGTTCCTAAGAGCATGTACCCACACAACTACTTTACTTTACTTTATGGAAGAGAGGCTTTCTTGAAAAACTAACGGTCGCTCAGCTTGTGACGAAATTTCCCGCTCTTTGTGGAACCCAAAATATTTCAGTGCCGTGTCCACAAGAGCAGGCCACGGAATTGAATCCTGTGTCTGACGAATCCAGTCCAGTCCGTTAATATCCACTTCAATATTATCTTCCCTTCTACACTTCCAAGACCTCTCTCACTTTCAGGTTTTCCAACCAAAATTCTGTATGACACTATCGCCTCTCTCAAGAGTGCTACATGCCCCGCCCATCTCGGTTGTTCCTATAGCACTTGGTGAAGAGAACAGACCATTAAGTTTCTCAATATACGGTTCTAGGAGCCCACCCAGCCTCGTGTCTAATGCTTAGTGGGGGATTCTTTCCATAGGGGTAAAGCGGCCGGGGCGTGAAGTTCACCACTGATCTCCAACTAGTTCAGACGTCAAGGATACGTGGTCTATACATCCACTCCCCCATACGCCCTCATGGCTAACGCTTAATTAGTTAAGCACAGGGACAGCTTTACCGTCTACCTCGTTACGCAGTTTTCTCCGTTCTCCTGGTACTTCCACTATCTTTCTGTGTACGTTTCCATGACAACTGATTCTCCTGCCTCCAGATCGCAATTACTGGTACGAGGAAGCCCGCAGTGCCATTCACCGTCGCCTCCAGGGGTCGAATCTGGAGACATTCGCTCAAAACGTGATCCTGGTCGTAGGAGATGGCTTGGGGATGACAACCCTGACTGCAGCCAGGATTCTGAAGGGGCAGCGTCAGAGGCGGGCGGGGGAGGAGGAACAGCTCGCCTGGGACCAGTTCCCAGCTGTGGCGCTGGCCAGGGTAAGGTAACGGTAAAGTGTTCCTCGTGCTTAAATAATTAAGCACTACGCTATAAAGACATATGGGGGGAGCGGAGGTATAGCTCCGCCGTTCTTAACCTCAGCACTAGATGGAGGTGAGTGGTCAGCTTCACGCCCCTGCCGTTTTACCCCTGGGATTTCATCAAGAACTGAAAACTTACCTCACGTTAAGGCAAATAGGATTACAGGCTAGGGGCACTGAAAATGTTGTAGCTGAAGGAAGAAGGAGCCTCCATCTTCGGGAAATGAGTACTAGAAGTTTAGAAAAATCCAGTTTCTTACAGGAAACAGCATAAAATATGAACAGTCTGTGTACAACATATTCGACTGTGCGTCGTGACGTGGTATAGGCAACCTTACAGAACATAGGTTTTCTTTCCTCAACGACATGTGCGCTACGGGGAATTTTGGTTCCTATCTATGTGTAATAGAATCTAGTCGCTTTCTAATGATGACGTAAGGATGTTCGTCACTATCTGAGAATGATGCACTCTCGGAAAGGTCTTGAGGTAAGACAAAGGTAAAGCTATCCGTATAACAGGCCGCAGAGGCCAACAGGGTTGTGAGACTCGGAGCTCCCACATTTTCTAGACAATCGGCTCACAGATGGCGGTGAGGTTGTCAGTCTTACGTGCTGGCCACCCTTTGCCCCCTTCAATTTTCCTGGTACTCAATTCTGTTAGAGGCTGAATCGATCACAGGGCCATAGTGCGGCTGGAAGGATTAGGTTAACTGAAAAAGCCAATGACCTCATCGAGAATCGAACCCGCGACCTTTAGGCTTACATTATAGTGCCCCACCTCCCGGAAAGGTCTCTGGGACAGAAAATTGGAGTGGGACAAAGGAACTATACATGACTGATGCAGAAATTTGAAGGCTCTCGTGACACAAACAAAGTTCAGCGTTCACAGAGACGATGACTGACACGTCTAATTGCCTTTACAGTTCTATAAGTTCAATTCTAACCCTTTAAAGCACAGTGGTAAGTATACGCGTCAAGTTCTTAATATGTTGCCCACACAGTGTATCTCTGTGTTGTGTATGGCTGTAAAGTAAGAAGCTATTAATTCCGTAAACATCATTAACGGGGTTTGTATTTGTACTGGACATATGGTATGTTTTCTGTGAGATAGGAACAAATAATGTAAATGTTATTTAGATTAATTTCAGTCTTAAGTCACATTGTACGACTAACCAGAAAATCTAAATTTGCACAGTGCTTATTACGACTGATGTGAATTAAATTCTTCCCTCAGCACTGAGGATAATGAGCACTGCTCAGGACCTGGGACAATATCAACATACGAAACTGAAGACCGCTTTGTGTCTCCGGCCAACTTATTTTTCTCCTACTTTGAGACTTTAATCCTTTGAGGTTAGAAGCTAAACAATGTATGTGTGTGTGTGTGTATATATATATATACTATATAAGTAAAAATTCACTTCCTACCTCTCACAAAACAAAGTGCGCCTCCGTTATAAGAATAAATCGGTTACGCCTGTTTAGAGAAATGATAGCTGTTATTTTAAAAGTCACAGCAAAGACCCAGTTGTAGTGCAGTTTCAAAATACAGAGTTTACTTCACGTTGAAGCCTGTGATGGTTAATGGTTGGCGCACTGTATGCATAAATTGGTTTCATAGTTACAATAATCCGTCCTGATGTGAGTGAATATAGTCTGCCAGTAGTCCTATTCAGGCGTTATGAAGCGAGACAGGGTCCCCCTCAGACTGGGTCACGCCGGGGCATGAACTGGGCAGCTCAGGCTTCCGCGGACAGCTGCCAGCATCCAGAGAGTGAAGGCGGTCACTTGGACTGCTTCTGGCCGAAGTATACGAGTCTGGTTAGCATGGAAGTGATGGTGGGCACTTGTTTCTTGAGGTCCATTTCTTCGTTGCCTGGAACGTTTGAGCGGAAGTCAATTGCCACGCGCCGACACACGAAGGTCAGCAAGGTCAAGAGGTCACGGGTGAGGCCGTGGAGGCGAAGCTCGTCACACAGTGCCTGGATGAACCACGCGCCATGACGAGGATTTCGCCAAGAGTAGTGATCTGAATCAAAGAAACGTACTCGTTACGCGTTGCTAATGGTAATCGTTACGTGTTGCTAATGTTACTCGTTACCTGTTGCTAATGGTACTCGTTACATGTTGCTAATGGTACTCGTTACGTTTTGCTTATGGCACTCGTTAAGTGTTGCTAATGATACTCGTTACATGTTGCTAGTGGTACTCGTTACGTGTTGCTAATGGTACTCGTTACGTGTTGCTAATGGTACTCGTTACGTGTTGCTAGTGGTACCCGTTACGTTTTGCTTATGGCACTCGTTACGTGTTGCTAATGGTACTCATTACACGTTGCTACTGGTACTCGTTACGTGTTGCTAGTGGTACTCGTTATATGTTGCTAATGGTACTCGTTACGTGTTGCTAGTGGTACTCGTTACATGTTTCTAATGGTACTCGTTACGTGTTGCTAGTGGTACCCGTTACGTTTTGCTTATGGCACTCGTTACGTGTTGCTAATGACACGCGTTATGTGTTTCTAATGGTACTCGTTGCGTGTTGCCGATGGTACTCGTTACGTGTTGCTAGTGGTACTCGTTACATGTTGCTAATGGTACTCGTTACGTTTTGCTTATGACACTCGTTACGTGTTGCTAATGACACTCGTTATGTGTTGCTAATGACACTTGTTACGTGTTGCTAATGACACTCATGTGTTTCTAATGGTACTCGTTACGTGTTGCTGATGGTACTCGTTACACGACCAGACATGCTCAGATCCTTGGCACCGGCATGGACGGGAATTGTAGGAGGGGTAAGCCACGCGTTTACTTCCCTCCGCAAACTAAAAAAGTAATAAGAAATTCTGTGAAGAATGAATCGACTACTGTTCTTTGATACGACACGGACCTGATAGAAAACAATGAGTCCAACAATCATTCCACTGTTAGGTGTGTAATCGTTGGCGCGGGAAGGTGTTTGCCGAGCTGTTGCCTAGCAACGACAGGGGGATACAGATACAGAAACACAGCCACACACACAGAAAGGTGATCTCATGCACCTCCTTTTATTCTTTCGAAATAGGGAAATTAGGCTAAACTCGGAAAAGAATAAAATATAGGCACACGAAATATTAATAAAAAATTACGAATATTTCTAAATGCGGCACCATATATGTCCCAATGTAGGGGCCCACAGCCACACCGCGATCCACAGGAGCATACGTAACAGGATTAGCCCAATTTCTGGCTGACCGTTCCTCCTCCGAATAAAACTCGAGGCTACGCTAAGACTGAAAAACTTGAAATGCTGACTCAGTTACTGAAGTTTATCCTCATACGATTTTTGAAACACGATAGGCGATAGCTTAAGGAATCTAAAAGGCTGCCTACAATCAGCGAGCCGTGGACGCTTGCTGGCCAGTAACTCTTGTTATGCTTATGTCACAGGCCTAAAAAGGTAAAAAAGGCAAAGCTATCCCTGTAACAGGTCATGGGGGCCCATAGGGCTGTGAGACGTCGAGGCTCCCACATTTTCTAGACAATCGGCTATCACACTGCGGTGAGGTTGTCAACTTTACGCGCCTTCCGCCCTTTAGCCACAGGAGGATTCCTGGTACTCATTTATGATAGAAACTGAATCGACCCCAGGATTATAGTGCGGTTGGAAGATTTAAGTAAATTAAAAATTCGAGTGACCTCATCGGGAATCGAACCCGCGACCTTGCGGCTTGTGAAAACTAAAGTATCCACTTTACTCCCGGGATATGGTTCCTTTTACTGTCAAAATCACACTAGTAGTTAAAGCAGGAACAACCGTCGAACTACGTAACTAAAATTTACTCATACAATTATAATTAATTTGCAGGAAATTAAAAAATGTATTTTGTTCGTGTGTTCTCTAATGGCATAACGTTCATACCAAATGTCACGATAATCGGTAAGCTGGATTAAAAATGTTAAATGGAACTAGATACACAGACAGAGAGCAAGGAAGAAGGAATTTGTGTTTGTCCAGACAGTAAGGAAACCGGCCCTCTACCAGCGAGTTCAGAGGTTACGTTACAGTATTGTGGAACTAACTCAATGGGGCAGAGTCCGTCCTCAGACGCTAAAAGTTGCTCAGCTAGCCTTCCATGGTTCATTGCCATGTTCACAAGAGTCCGCCACTGGTTCCTATTCAGCTGAATCCAATCACGCCCTCACACTTTACTTCTTACATTCATTTCGACTTACAACCCTCTGTACCTTCCATTGTAGAGTAAGCGATGAGAAAGTCGGCTTGCGTAGGGATGACGTATGGCTGGTCGTAGCCGTCTACTTGATCAACCGCCACGCCGGAGTCCACCTTGGTCCCTCGACAGGCCTGCAGCAAGAGAGTTCTCATGAAGATACTGATATAAGCATGAAAGAAGGGCGCCATCTTGTAACGTCAGGGCAGCGGATGACAGACGAGTCCAAATGGCGCGAGTACTGCCACCTACAAGGGAATCAGAAAAAGGGGAGTACACGAAAAATCGTGGCCGATGAACAAGGAGGAGTGAACACCAGTAAAAATAGTTGTCCCTGTGCGTTATGCACCATGCCATGAAGAAGTAGGTGTATGAATGTGGTCAGCTTCACGAAGGCTCGTAGAGAATTCTCAGGACATGTGGAACGCCGATGCCTTCAGCTGCTGCAATTCCTCGCGCACTGGCTCTGGGATCTTCTTCCGCTCTTCTGGATACGCCAACTTCAACATCGGGACTTCGAACTGATGGAGGCCTTCCGCGAACTGACGCCCGGGGAGCAAAGGATCCAGCGTTGCTCAATCGCTGGTAAATTTGGGTGAATAATTTGTGGGATGGGATTCCGTGTTCTGCGTAGAGGCGACCTGTTTCTCGAGAACTTCCACTGGCATGGCCACACATGAAGTGCACGTCTGTCATTTCCCGGAGCAGAGTAACCATATTCCATTACAAAACCACTAAACGGATTTCAAATCGAGTGAATATCACAGCACCAACAATCACTGCTTCCTCCTTGGTAGTACCATAAGTAGTGCACCTACTGAGTTTGCTGAGACAGTCACAACACGTGCAAGGGAACGGTAAGCAAAAGTACATGACGTTCGCTGACCCTTTCTTAATGCAGTCTTATCCTAGAATCCAGTCAAATACTAACTCACCCATATCTCTGCAGACAGTGATTTCCGAAATTACAAGGTGCGACAATTTAATTCCCGAAATGGTCTTGTGGAAGCAAAATTGCTTACCTGTGCACTAGCGGCTGCTGTCGCCTTCCAGATGATCTCCTTGTGAAGTTATGCACTTCGTGAGGCCATGGTGTCACTGCCAGAAACAGCCTTGAAAATCGTTTTCCGGAATACCTCGCAGTAAAGTTGTCACGTTGGATGTCAGGAATGTCGGAAAATCTTTGTCCATTCAGGGTATTTTTTTTTTATTTTGGAAAGAGCCAAAAATTCACAGGGGGCCAAGTCAGGTGACTAGCCAGAAACTCATGAACTCTTAACGCATCATGCGCAGAGGCACTGGCCAGAGTTCGCGTACTTTCTTCCGAACAGATTCCCATAACCTGGTCAGCACTTCCAAATAACACTGTTGATTCGCCGTTTGTCCTTATGCAATGAATTTATAGTGAACTATCCCCTTGTGATCGAAGAAACACACAAGCATGGTTGACTGTCACTTTTTCAGTAAGTAAGTAAATAAGGTACCTCCTGCTTGCTCACCTGTATGAAGAAGAGTTTGGGCTTGCCGACCAGCGTGGAGCATTTGTCTCCCGTGAAACGTAACCACAGTTCCTGCGTCCGATACTTTGTGTCACGTGTATGCAGGTAGCCGGCCTCACCGTGTGACATCACGACCACGAGCAGGCAATCCGCCGTACTGTGGTCCTCAGTTGCCGCTGTAAACATTTCAATTTAGTGAAACACAGAATGTCCCTATAAGTCACTCCAGGCTACAAGCTATACTAGAGCAAAATCCGTTGAAATTCCAACGCAAAATTGTTAAAAACAAAATTCATCAATAGGCAAGCTCGATAACTTTACAAGTTACGGAAAGACCGCTATAAAATGTGCACCAGGTCATTGAACGGCAATATGCTGCTATCTAGATGAAACGTTTTGGGCAAAGCTTCTTTAAAAAGAAAAGAAAACTTTATCAAAAGTACATAACCTCTCTTTTCCTTCAGAGGGATACAGAGTATAGCAAAGCATGTGACTGTTATTCTAATGATTTCCAATGCAACAAACTGGGAAGGGGGGGGGAAGCTTCACCGGATAATTCCCCCACTGATGCAGTCGTATAGGCTCACAGTGGCCGCGCGGTCTAAGTCATGAAACTTAGGGCCGCGCCATAGCTCAAGCGGTTAGTCGCTGGCTTCCCACAGCGGCGGCCCGGGTTCGATCCCGGGTCTGGTCAAGGCGGATTTGTGGTGGACAAAGTGGCGCTGGGGCAGGTTTTCTCCGAGTACTTCGGTTTCCCCTGCCAATTTTCATTCCACCAATTGCTCCACAATCACCCTCACCTATCATCTGGGACAGGTACAATAGGCCAGAAGTGGCCGCAGTACAAGGGACTTAGTCCCACCCCACCTGGCAGTAAAAAAAAAGAAGTTACGATCTAGCTTAACATGTATGCCGTCACACTGGATTTTTCCCGATAAAAATCGAGACTGCAACGTCGATTGAGGGGCATGCGATAAGGTAGTTGGTTGAGGCTCTATGCTACATACCGGAAGGTCGCGTGTTCGAGTCCCGATGAGGTGGTGTTTTTCAATTGACCTAATCCTTTTAGCCGCACTATGGCCCTGGCGTCTACTCAGCCTCTAACAGAAATGAATACCAGGAATCTTCCTGGGGGTTAAAGGGCGGCCGGCGCGTAAGGCTGACATCACCGCAAACTGTGAGCCTATTGTCTAGAAAACGTGGGAGCCTCGGCGTCTCACAACCTTATGGGTCCTCACGGCCTGTTACAGGGATAGCTTTGCCTTTTTTTTTTTTACCTAACGTCGACTGAAGCATAGGTACCTGTTCTGCTGCCACCTGGGGACCCTTCATGTGATTAATACAAATTTCTGCCAGAGAACCTACTCAGGATGCTCAGGAATTCTACACCATTACATTATGGAAATAATGCACACCTGAATTAAGGTGAACGCGGAATATTTGGGTAAGTTGCAGGAAGACGTGACGTCACGTGACGTCCGGCCTGCTTCGTAAGAAACCTGGAATATTTTTTACTTTTCCTTTACACACAGCACGAAAAATTGTGATCGTGTCATAGTTACTTTAAGACTGGCTGCTTACCGCCAATCAGATCGTCTTGGCGGCAAGCCCCTTGAGGATCACGGCCAGAGATCCTTTTACTTTGCAACTGAACCCTTGCGGTATAGTCTTTGTGTAACATCATCTCTGACGAGAGGATGGTGTTGTCTCTTATGAATAAGCTTCACCTTTGTCAATTGTACGTACTGCACATATAGAACGTATCTATGCGGTTCTTCCTGGGAAGTATCAGTCCGATAAAGGTAATAATTTGGAATGAAGAACCTCTCATGGGATTTGAGATGTCTCTGAGAGCAGAGTCACGTCTATATGTAAGTCTTGCAGCCGTTTACTGAGTCCACAGCGCAGCCTCCATATGTCATTTGCATTCAATGTTATAACCTTGAGCGGCCTATGAATCCGAGCAGCCATTTGGTTTCATTGCATTAAGTACCATTTTTGTAATGAACATTATTTTGTCTTTTTCTGACACAGCTTCATTGAGCTCTGCCATGATCTGTTGCACTACTATGGTGACTTTAAACGTGTCATTATTAGTCGAACTGGGGCCTGTACTGACAGGCCTGATCTCTGAGTTTCCTGTTGAGGAAGGTACTGCACAGCATGTACATGCATTACCTTGTATGAATATCGGCCAACAATGCTCTGTTGAACAACAATCAATTTATCTTCTAGGGTAACGTAGTCAAGATTTACCGTACATGAGAACGCACGTGAAATGTCTTTACGCCGACATCTTTTAATTTGTAAAAGACGCCTGATAACACAAATGAGTTTGAAAGTGTGTAAAGCCATCCTGGTTCAAGGTATCTCTGTATGCATACAACTTCTTTCCCACAATAATTCAACTTCACAGCGTGAAAATTCAGGGATCAAAATGGCTCCGGCCTTTCTACAAAACTAAACAGAAAGTTGTGTAAACAGAAGACGGACGTGTAGTACTCTCAACTCAGGCAACAATTTTGACCGCAAATTTCAGGTAGCAAAGCGCCTGTTGAAATCTACAAGCATGACATGAGTTTCCCGCCTCTGTTACGTAATATTGCCTGGGATTGCATACCCATTTTCTTGTTCTCCAGCAATAAATTTGTCTTCATGTTGAAGATGAATTACTGTACGTGTGATGAGGTTATGTAAGCGAAGAAACGAGAAAGCGAGATGTAACAGGTGTGACACAGTTACAGAGAGAACTGTGGGAGTGGGAATTCAAACATTTAATGCGCAGAAATAACTCGTACACGTACCACCCACTTCAAAATCCCCGTCACCCGACCCCAAAATAAAACAGGTCGGTCTAGCAATAACGTTTTAAACTTGCATACATATTCAGGAAGTCCTAGGTTCGTATCTGTTCGCAGGTTCTTCGCAGAGTTAAATCCTTTCCCCGCGGGTTACCGTAACCGGTTTCGTCCAGTCATGGACCCTTCGTACATGACTCAGAGCTTTGTTTCTTCAAAATGCTGGTCCGGGGTGGGAGGTGGGGAAAAGTGAGGTCTTCAGGCATGGTCCTGGCGCAGAAGTGGGTCATGCCGCCTGCCAAGTCTTGAGGACAGCAATGCCTGCGCCTTCCTGCTGCGTATCTCACGGTCCCGGGTTCAGATATCGCCCAACCTGATGAGGTTATTTGTGCTTTCCTCAGTCCCTCCAGGCAAGTATCAAGCTATTACCTCAAACGACGTCAGGACCGCTTCTTTTCATATTTTTCCAACTCGGTATTTGCTGACCATCCTACGATTCAGTTACTGAGCACTGAGAGAGTCCTTAACCAAGACGTCAGCAAATGGAGTAGACTTCCTACAGAGAACGTGAGAATAGGGTTCGCCTGTTCGGACTACCGATTCATTACCAAACGTTCGGCTGAGGCAAGGTTTATGAATTGAACGCATAGTGGAGAGGACGTATATTGCCTTACGCCGTCATGCTTCATATCCAAAACTAACGGAAGAAATTCAACGAAATTTAGTATTGGAGAATTACAGTGAAATATGTAGGGATAATTTTATCTGTTACTTTGATCGCTGTTGTTAAGTAACCAATCAAATCGATCTTATAACTTAATGATTGAAGGGGGGGGAGTCCCCCAAAACGTTGGTACCTGTCTACCAGACTACACGGTGCATGTCCCATAAGCCCGCAGTGTTAATATAGCACACAGCTCATTAATCTACTCTCGGCCTGTGTACGGACGAAAGTGACCTCTGTTCTACGCGGAGGTCAAAACGAAATATATTGACTGTACAGAAACCGGTTCATCTAACAAGAGCTTTACATGTGACGTAAAACTTAGACCGTCTCAAAGAACACAACATTTAAATAAGGTTCATATTTAAATAAATGTAACGCCGGGTTATACCCAGGATGTACTTGTCTCTTGCAGGAGAGAACCGGGCTCAATTCCGGTTGCCTTCAGGTGCGATTCCTCCTGCTCGAAGTGGCACTGAAGAACGTTGCTTCTGTCTTTTTTTTGGGGGGGGGAAGGAGCTTGCCATGCTAGTCATTATTTGACAGCCCTGTTCAGGCAGCGGATTATCACACCTTAGGTTCCTCATTTCGGGGCTTCATCTCTGGCCCGGCACTCGGACAGTCGCGTAGCAAAGAAATTACAGTTAGCCCTCGCTAATCTGGTTACAGTTAATCCGGATGATCTGGAACTGGTACAATAGGCCAGAAGTGGCCGCAGTACAAGGGACTTAGTCCCACCCCACTAGCAATAAAAAAAAATTTGCCATTAAGGCTTAAAGATTTATTCTTTATTTATATCTCTGAAGGTTATTAGTTTAACTTGAAGCCTTTATTAATTGAGGTTGGTGATTACTGTAGATACAGTTAATCCTATTACTGACACTGATGATAACACGACTCTGTACATAATGATTTTGTTTTCCTTGTGTGCTCACTGTAACCAGATTTGCGAGGGCTTACTCTATTTTGTATTACAGGTACAAAGACAATCGACTCGTAGAACAAGAGACTATACACAGATGAAGTGTGGTATAGAGTTCAGCGTGACCTGAAACATTTTCTTAATTGGGTGGGTGCTTTACTGAACAAGAGGCAAACAACTGTGGACTCTTCAAGCAGTTACTAATGACGTCACAACAGTGGGATAGCAACGAACGCTCACAAAGGCCACCGAGATACGCATAACAGCCAACGACGTCACTCAAAGAAGTCTACACGCTTCCAGTTTAAGGGTTATTTAATGACGCTCCTCTCTGTCGAACCTATACAGCATCACGTGGTACAACATTACATGGATGATGAACTGGAGAGGATTTGCAAGGAGGAGGTTATGGCCCAATCAAAATATTAACACAGAATTTGCATGGAAGAACAGAGGAAACCCATGAAAACCTCAGAATAACTAGTGTTCTGACCCAAATTCTAATCAAACGCCTATTGAATACATGTCTACAGCGTTACCACTATGCCAGCCTGCCAGTAGTTAAGCACTACGTCATGAAGACGTAGGGAGGGGGGGGGGGTGGATGTATAGACCTATGTTTTCTTGACCTCGGCACTAATTGGAGGTGAGTGGTCAGGTTCACGCCCCAGATGCTTTACTCCCGGGGAAAAAGCCCCCGGTACCCATTGGATAGGAGGCTGGCTGCATGAGCCCCAGAGCCGGCGTGGACGACATAGAGAAGAGAAAATTCTTGCCTCCACCAACGACCCCTTGGTCGTCTAGTCCGTATCCAGTCGCTATACCGACCGCGATATCCGGGCGAGGAAAATTATTAAGAATTTTAGTCAAGATGGCCGGTTTCCGGGCCGAGCTCTGAGCCAGGGACTCCCGGATACAAAGCAGAGTTCTGCCTGAAACTTGATCCTAGCACTTCTCACATACTCTTTCTGAGCATTGCAGACAGCTCCGTGTAGGCGAGGTCGTTGTAGACTCGGATCTCGAACCCCAGGTTCCTCAGCTGGAAGGACAGATTCTCGCAGTCCCTGGCGGTCCCAGACCGGGACGGCATCCCATCAAACTTCTGGTGATTGAAGATAAGCGCGACGCCGCGCCTTGGATGACACATGTTATATTCCTCGGCGTCTCTGTCGCACCCGGAACCTTTCGCTGGCAGGCTGTTGAGGTCAGTAGCGTCCGGCAACTCGCTGACTCTCCTGAAAGCACAGAGAACAGTTTCAATTCTCTGCTGCCTGAAACTGGTCTAAATAATTGACGTCATTCGAAACCGTTCTATGCAATTTCTTAAGCTTATTTGCAGCACGTTTACAAACAAAAACAAAACAAAAAGCAGCATAAATATTGTGGCATGTAGACCCGCTGCTAGGCAACGACCGCGAATTAAGCGACTACACAATAGCCGTTGCTATTGCTACAAAGATAATTGTAGATGTTTTCTATGCGGTTCGTGCCGAGATGTTATAAGCAGGAAAAGGTAATGAAGGGTTTTACCCCAGAAGAGTCTCCGGTATCAACTGGTTAGGAGACTGGGTGAGTCGCATAGCCAGTTTAGACGCTGTGAAGAGAAAAATCTCTTGTCCCTGCTGGGGTTAGAACCCTGGCCGTCCAGCCCGTGGCCCGTTGCTACGTCAACTGAGCTATCCAGGCTCACAAGAACATTAGTTACTCCGAAAACAGAACTAATAACGGATGTCCATTTTCGTGAGTTCTTAGTTTTTTCAGACATAACGTGAGGGAGAAATCGATCCTGCTTATCTGAGCCCGCTAGAAGCAGCGTGTCTCGGTCTCTAGAGCTTCTGGCTTCATGCAGCAGGGGATATCTTCATCATAATCTTGCCAATGATAGTCGAATTGAGGACAGACAAACATCAAAATTCTCAGACCTTTAAATTACGTAAACACCACAACATTGAGACCTACGGAGGAATGGAAATACTGCTCCATGAGTTCTTCACCTGGCCAGCTTCTCGCCCCAGCCGCATTACCCACTGGACAGCAGACTAGTGAGCCCCATTGTGAAGACGAGACAAATGTCTTGTCCCTGTCGGAAATCAAACGCCGATTCTCCGGTCATTCAGTCAGTAGCCTAGTCACTACACAGGCCAAGATAGCCAGGTAGATACTATGCTTCGATTCTTGACGAAAGAGAAAGACTTATTTCTTCCCCTCGGCGTTAGGACGTCCTTTGGGGCTTTGTATCCAATGAGTATTGGGGGTAAAGTGGTTAGGGCGTTAAGAAGACTACTCGCCTCCATCTCGTACCTCCACCTCCACCCCCCACGTCGTCACAGCGTGAATTGCAAAGCAAGCACAGGACAGCTTTACGTTCACTGTTATTGGCAGACTCGCGCAGTGCTCGGTTCGTGTTCCCAGCGCTGCCTCCGGATGCCAACAAGCCTTCCAGAGTCCTCTGGTGCTGGGTGGCTGCTGCAGCCCCCTCGCCCCTAGCGCGGAAGCCTTACCTGATCTTTGGGCTGAAGCCCCACGCGTCTACCTCGTTTGTGTGCTCAGATGCGTGCGCTAGCATCTCCTGGCCAACAAACTCTTCCTTCCTGCTTGAATCCATGTTCCTGAAACGCAAAAACAACCGCTACATTTCAGCCACGTCACACAGACAGACCACGGGTTAGAACTGCAATCCCAAACATGTGATTACTGTGACCTCTAGCGTCAAACTGGGTAACTAAGTGAATATGGCGGACCGCTCAAGGTTCATAGCAGGGTTGTTTCTTACAACGGTGTTCTGGGGTGTGATGTCGTGTTCTTTGGTAGATAGACAGACAATGACCTTTTGGAGGAACATGTCCACGGAACTACATGGCGCCATGTTCCAGACGACAGTAATATTAACATTCACGGCAGTGAGCAAGGTAAGGCTAACGAGGGTTGAAGGCTTGTCTGCTGGGATATAACGCCATGCAGTCCGGTGAAAGTCAACATGCCGTCTTCATATTCACAGTGGAAATGTTAACCAAGCAAGAAGCCAGGATGTAGCAACCAGCAGCGCACTACACTGCATTATATACTAGAACCGTAACCACCGATGCTGGAACCGCAAATCCTCACAAGGGTCACTTGAATGGCTTGCGTGGGTTCCGTAGCGTCTAATGTTAGGATTGCGAATGACGAATGGGAAAGGATACAGAAGAAAACATTCGTGGGCTATTCTAAGGCATTATTCCAGCGTTTACTTGGGGAGAGCTGAGGAAAAACACGAGAGACATTTGTCAAAATATATAAATGTCCAAGCGAGGTTCGAATCCTGGACCACCTTAACCACGACACTGCGATTGTGAGTGTTTGGGGGCGGGGCTCTCGAGATATACAACCCGCGAGTGAATTCCGTTAATGAGGAGTCAGAAATGTTGAGTTTAAAGTTATATTCCCAAAATATTAGAAAGCGATTACACGTGTTATTCAAATTAGAAGCGTTTATATTTAAATTCTCCTGTCCAGTCCAGTAAATTGTTCATGGTCCTCGCCAGCAAAGTGATTCTGGGTTCCGAGTACCACAGAACTCGTGACCATATAATACTATTTGACGGCTCTGGGGCCCTTCTGACTCACTCTGTTCTGTCAAGTACTATGCATAGGTCGCAGCCGATATTCCATTATGTTGCTGTTGCAGTTTGATCAGGTCGACCTGTAGCGCTTGTTTTAACACCTGTATCAACAGTTCTTTGCGAGTTTCTCTCTTTCCTTAGCCGACTTAAAGTGAGCTAATATTTTGACTGTGCAGATGTCGGCTCTGAGAAACCACACTTTTTTAAGTGCCGTTATATTGATTTGTCTGGTCTAGAATACCGAAATTAACGGCCGTGGCGATCAGTTGCGCTTGCATCGGGCCCGGTGCAAGCGCAGCAAACCGAGAGGCATCTTTGGGCAGCGAGATTGTACTCTTTTTAATTTTCCTTTTTCTGTTATATGAAAAATTATTTCCCTCTGCTCTTTTGTTTTCCGGTCTAGAAAATCGAAATTAACGGCAGTGGGGATTCGTGGCGTTGACAACGCGACACTCTCTATCCGCTAAAGTTGGCACTAACTTCGCCGACAAGCTGCGGTCGCTCGGTCGGTATAGCTCGCTTGCGGACTAAAACCACGGAGTTTAGTTTTGTTTACACCGTAACCGTTAATTGGCACCCATGTAACAATGCAAATGAAGCTGTTCTAAGGATTACGACACTCACGACGATTTTCGTCGCAGATTCTAGTAATTGGTTTCATTAATTGTGGAAGAGTTGAGAGAAAGTTGATATGTTCCTAACTGCGCTTGGGTTTCAGTTAAAATAAATGAACTTAAAGTCACTGAGGTATTCAAAATCGCGAAGAAGAAATTTTCCACAACGTTTCTTCTCCACACGGAGCCCGCCTTTGAACTGCTGTATCTTTAATCTTTCCACATCATCAGTTATCATTCACATCGCATTTTTTTTTCGACTTTCTTCCGGATTGTGACTACACAGCAAGACTTTCCCTGGCCTCTCACACCCACCACGAAACACGAGAGGTCGCTGTCGGGTCCTCACTGCCGCGTCGCATTGTTCCGTTCCGTCCTGCGCGCTTTCTCGCCCTCAGAGGTCAGCCGCGTTGTGCAATCCGGCACAGGTAGCGTTGCCTGTGTGATATCGGCGTGTGAGCGAGCCATCACGTGCTTATCATGGAAAGTGCCATCTGTGAAACTGTTTGTAGGACCGGTCCATTGGTTATCACTGCACAAAATGAAGGAATGAAGACGTGGTTTGAGATCAATGAAGAAACAAGAACATCGCTGTCTTGTGGACGTGATGCCGTGCTACAAATTCACAAACGTTTCGGAGGAGCATTCTGCCTCCATCTTCAGGGTACAGGAGTAATCATGTAGGGAGATGGAAGGACGGTACCAGGACCCTGAGTGAACCAGTAGGAGAAGGGGCAATAGTGTTCCCCATATGGGGGCTCCCTGAGGGCTGTTCTTGAAGGGCAGAGTGAACGGGAGAGCCATCGGAACAACATGGGATGATCCAAAGGTAGATGTGAAGGGGGGGGAGGTGAAGCTGGAAGAGATAGCACAAACTAAACATATTAGAGTGTAAGGGGAGGGAGTGTACATCCCTTATTATAAGGCCTTATAATAATAATATTCACTGCGGGAACTTGATCCTCAATGGGTTTCTCTAGCCACTGCAGACACTTGTCCTTCAATGTGTTTCTCTAGCCACTACTGACACTTGTCCTTCAATGTGTTTCTCTAGCCACTGCAGACACTTGTCCTTCAATGTGTTTCTCTAGCCACTACTGACACTTGTCCTTCAATGTGTTTCTCTAGCCACTGCAGACACTTGTCCTTCAGTGTGTTTCTGTACCCACTACTGACACTTGTCCTTCAATGTGTTTCTCTAGCCACTGCAGACACTTGTCCTTCAATGTGTTTCTCTAGCCACTACAGACACTTGTCCTTCAACTTGTTTCTCCAGCCACTGCAGACACTTGTTCTCCCCCCACAAGAACTGTCGTCTTATAGACCCATTAGTCTGCTACCTCTCACTAGTGAAGTTTTGGAAAATATTTGCTTCAAAGGATATACGCAGATCATGAGCTAGTAACAATACTTCCTAATCATCAGTTCGGATTTCGTGAACGGCACTCTACAAACCATCAACAACATCTACAACCCCCCAGGAATCTTCCTGGTACTCATTTCTCTTAGAGGCTGAGTCGACCCCAGGGCTATAGTGCGGCTGGAAGAATTAGTTTCAAATGAAAAATGCAATGACCTCATCGGAAATTGAACCCGCGTTCTTCCGGCTTGTATCAAAGTGCCTCAACCAACTATGCTACCGCGTTCCCCACTTGCAACATAGCAAATTCTCGATTTAAGGGACAAAATACTTCGGTACTTTCGGGTTATTACCCGGCTGGTATGTTAGTACTTCCCCGTAATAGTAACTGAGACTTACCGCGGCTAACACTTTGCAAGGCTATCCGACACACACCCAGCAGGAAAACTGAATGGTTTGCTTTTGTGCCGTTGTAATAAAGCCAGCTGATAAATCCGTTATCAGGTAACTAGTGAGATAGAAGGTGTGACAATTTAATTCCCGGAATGGTCCAGTGAAAGCAAAATTTTCTTACCTGTGCACTAACGGCTACTGTCGCCTTCCAAATGCTCTCTTTGTGAAGCTATACACTTTGTGAGACGATGGTACCACTGCCGCAAACAGTCTTGAAAATCGTTTTCCGGAATACCTCGCAGTAAATTTGTCACGTTGGATGTCAGGAATGTCAGCAAATCTTTGCTCCTTCAGGGCATTTTTTAATTTTAGAAAGAGCCGAATAATCACAGGGGGCTAAGTCAGGTGACGAATGTCACCTCAGTTCTTAGCCAGGAACTCGCGCCCTCTTAACGCATCATGCGCAGGGGCATTGACATGGTGGAGAATCCACTTCTCAGGTCTGAGTTTGGGTCTTTTCCTCCGAACAGATTCCCGTAACCTTGTCAGCACTTCCAAATGACACTGTTGATTCACAGTTTGTCATTCTGCAATGTATTTATAGTGAACTATCTCCCTGTGATCGAAGAAACACACAAGCACGGTCTTGAACTGCGAGTGAGAAAAGCATGATTTTTTCGGACAAAGTGAATTTTGTGTTTTCCACTGCATGCTCTGGCGTTTTGTTTCCGGGTTATAGAAACACAATGTTTCATCACCGGTAATGACCATATAAGACATCTCTGCGTTGTGTAAAAGATCAGCTGAAATGTGAAGCCGACGTTTTGTCCGGTCATCTGTCAAGATTCGAGGCACCATCTTCACGGAAAAGTTTCTCATTCCCAAATTCTCCGTAATAACATGTTGCATTGTTTCCCTGTTCATATTCAGTTTTTCTGCTATTAGTCTCACACCTGAACTTCGATCTGAGCGCACCAAGGTTCATACTCTATCCACATTTGCATCTGTCCTCCGCTTCTTTGGCTGCCCACTTCTTGGGTCATCTTGCACATCTTCTCGCCCTCCCTTGAACCGTCTATGTCGTTCAGAAACACTTGATTACGAGTACTTCATAGCGTATTCACCATAAGCCACGTTTCACTAGCACTTTTACCAGTCTTCTCACAAAACTTGATGTTTATCCGCTGCTCCATATTCTTGTCACTCGATTTTCGCCAACAGCATACCGCGGACACGTACTGTTTCCTCTGCTGCTTGGGAACGAAGGGCTCATTTGGTCTGCTCATGTAAACGCAAAGTTGAAACATGTGCAGACATGCTTGGGTACATGAGTTTGCCTGAATCAACGCCCCAGCTACACTCTGCGGCCATTCCGGGAATTAAATTGTCACACCTTGTACAGTAAATCTTCGCTAATCAGGATCGAAATATGTGAAAAGTGAAAAATCCTGTTTACAGTTCACAGTTCACACTTAAAGACACATGGCATTCCGAAAGGCAGATGAGTCACTTGTTTGTTCACACAAAACCTGACAGTATCGTCAAACTTGTATTATTACCTATTATTTCGTTACAAAAGCCAGCCGGTTGATGCTGCTTAGGGAAATAATACTAATATATAATTATACTAATAACCAGACGAAACACATTGTGTGGGCAAAATGCAGGGCTTTAGAATGTTGAAGCGCGGGATATATAGTTTACGGGATTTCAAGGATAAGGGCGGCCGACTGTTACACAGCGCACCCGTCTCCGTGCGAGATAAACCCGCACAACAGGGAACACTGGGAAATCCTTTTCGTGCTTTATGTAACGACGTTGGTGGCAGCTCAGTCCATACAGAATAGGACGGTAGGATTGGTGAGGATGTGGAAGATAGCGGCCGAAGCGTATGGTACTATCCTAGCATTTGCCTAGAGGGACTGAAGAAACCACGAAAATCCTCAGTCAAGATTCGAACCAAGCACCTATCAAATTAAAATCTGTAGCTTTACTTCTTGGCCAGTCTGTTTGGTTCTTCTCATAACGCACCTGCAACCACTACCCCGCTACTTTCTGCTGTAATTCTCCTGACCACAATGTATCAGCAACCACTGCCCCACGACTTCAAGACATGGCCATGCCTAAAGTCACTGCCTGTGTGCCTGGTAATGCAGGCGCATGTTGTATAGTGCCTAAGCATAACGTAGTTAAAATTTCTGTTTGTGAAAGTAAGTAAAGTAAAGGCATCCCTGTGACCGGCAGTGGAGGCCCATAGGGTTGTGAGACGTTGAAGCTCCCACATTTTCTAGACAATCGGCTCATAGATGGCGGCAAGGTTGTCAGCCATACGCGCCGGCCGCCATTTACCCCCAGGAATATTCCTGGTACTCATCTCTTAGAGGCTGAGTCGACCCCAGGGGCATAGTGCGGCTGGAAGGATTAGGTAAATTAAAAAAAATACAATGACCTCATCGGGACTTGAACCCGCTACATTCCGGCTTGTAGCATAGTGCCTCAACCAACTACGCTACCGCGTGCCTCAAAATTTCAGTTTGTACCTCACAGAAAACATGCCGTGTCTCTGTTACAAAGACGAATGTAAATTCTGTTCAGGGAGAACCGTACGAAGCACATAAATACACGGCGTGGACGAACTGCAGAACTTTTGAGCGTTAATGGTACACGTAGGTCTGTCTGTACCCTAAGCTGTTAACAAATTCCTACGTAAGGTAAGGTAAAGGTGTCCATGTGATTAATTACTTATGCACCACGCCATGAAGACATATTGGGGAGTGGAGGTATAGATTCACCTTTCTTGACTTCTGCACTAGATGGAGGTGAGTGGTCAGCTTCATATCCTTGCCGCTTTACCCCCGAGAAAAGAGCCCCCGATACCCAGTCTGAACGCTATGGAGAGCAGAAAATTCTTGCACTGCCGGGAATCAAACCCAGGCCGTCCAGACCGTAACCCGTCGCTGTATCGACTCCTAACAGTTTTGTACCCAGAGAGAACAGATACCGCACGGTACAAATGAAAGGCATTGCAAAAGATAGCTTATCACTCCCGCCAAGTGACGACACTTCAGCATCCACTCACCAATGTCACTTGTCAGCACAGATAACCGCAGGACAGTCGACACGCTCAATATTTTTCTTATTCTTCCCTCAGATGTCACGTGATTCGAATCCGCCATTACAGTGATCAGATAGAACGTGATGCCGTTTCACGGCGCTGCTTCAGCCGTAGCGGAAATGCGACAAGAAGCCATTTCGGGCTGTCTACAAGTGCTATTGCAGCAATTGTGTGCCGCAGGGCTCGAACTGGGTACTTGCAGAACACAAGATGGCCACTGTCTCGCTGAACAGTTTCCTGCTGTGACACAACAATTGTGAGAGATTGTGGCAAACACTTCTGTACGTCCAAGTTTAGTGCTCTATCGTCCTGAAGATGTAAGCAATATTTTCATCTGAAACTATCCGGCTATACAACGTCCAAAGACAGGATGACTGGCTGTAATTAACTGCAAATAATACGGAAATCCTGACTCCGGGACTTGGCAGGAAGGACTGCGGAAGTCCACGACAGCTTCCGTCTGAACAGCTAGTGTCTGGATCCCAACCGATCACCTCTCGAACAGAAGTCTAGAGCGTTACCGCTACATTAACCTTCTCGGTTTGTACGGTGCCACGAGACAGAAATACTGCCATGTATAGAAGTCAGCCACACAGTGCTGTATATTGCAATAGGAATGAAATTAAATAAAGCTAATTTGCAAATATACATAGATACCAATCGTATAATTGGTGAGACTTTAGTGAATTATAAATACAAATATGCCTATATACATATATAAAGATGTTTCAACACAAAGGGGCTGTTTTCATTCAACGTGTAGGCTATAATAAGATCCGAATTATATAGAGAGAAACACATTGCTGCTGTTCCATCCGCCCGTCAGCAGCAACAACCAGAAATGGATGGTATATAACATAATCCCAGCAAGAGATTCACTGCGGGAACTTGATCCTCAATGTGTTCCTCTAGCCATGGCAGACACTTGTCCTTCAACGTGTTCCTCTAGCCACTGCAGACACTTGTCCTTCAACGTGTTCCTGTAGCCACTGCAGACACTTCTCCTTCAATGTGTTTCTCTAGCCACTGCAGACACTTGTCCTTCAACGTGTTCCTCTAGCCACTGCAGACACTTGTCCTTCAATTTGTTTCTCTAGCCACTGCAGACACTTGTCCTTCAATGTGTTTCTCTAGCCACGGCAGACACTTTTCCTTCAATGTGTTTCTCTAGCCACTGCAGACACTTGTCCTTCAACGTGTTCCTCTAGCCACTGCAGACACTTGTCCTTCAACGTGTTCCTCTAGCCACTGCAGACACTTGTCCTTCAACGTGTTCCTCTAGCCACTGCAGACACTTGTCCTTCAACGTGTTCCTCTAGCCACTGCAGACACTTGTCCTTCAACGTGTTCCTCTAGCCACTGCAGACACTTGTCCTTCAACGTGTTCCTCTAGCCACTGCAGACACTTGTCCTTCAACGTGTTCCTCTAGCCACTGCAGACACTTGTCCTTCAACGTGTTCCTCTAGCCACTGCAGACACTTGTCCTTCAACGTGTTCCTCTAGCCACTGCAGACACTTGTCCTTCAACGTGTTCCTCTAGCCACTGCAGACACTTGTCCTTCAACGTGTTCCTCTAGCCACTGCAGACACTTGTCCTTCAACGTGTTCCTCTAGCCACTGCAGACACTTGTCCTTCAACGTGTTCCTCTAGCCACTGCAGACACTTGTCCTTCAACGTGTTCCTCTAGCCACTGCAGACACTTGTCCTTCAACGTGTTCCTCTAGCCACTGCAGACACTTGTCCTTCAACGTGTTCCTCTAGCCACTGCAGACACTTGTCCTTCAACTTGTTTCTCTAGCCACTGCAGACACTTGTTCCTCGACTCCTCCATTGTCCTCCAAGGCACTGTGTCCGCATCCAGCCAGTGGGACTCACCATGTTGGTGCGTGCTGTAGCCCGGCTGAGAGAGAACCAGGTCGTCATAAGCTGACAGCATCCTCCAGAAGCCTGAGTTTGTGTCATAACAATCATCATCTTCATCAACTGCCTCTGCCGTTGCTGGGACATTCCGCGGTTTGGTTTTCATTTTCATTTCTTTAACATTCTCTTCGTCCTGATCTTCGTCGTCTCCTTCTTCGTAACTTTCGTTTTCTTCCTCCTTTGGTGTTCCTGTCTTAAATTCATCAATACTTCGGGCAATCGAGTTCAGTATCCCAGACGTTAGCGGGGACTTCTTTTGGCGCCCTTGGGAGTGCCTCGCGAGTGTCCGCTGTTGCGCATCTCGTATTATGAATTTTGGGTCCTCCGCCATCATGGTTGTCACAGACGACGGACAATAGGCATCCAGACTTTCTTCTGCAGGAAAGAAAAGTGTCAAACAGTTTCAAGTTGCAGGTTATTTATGAACATTCAAAAGGACACATAACAAATAGATATCTATCCTTTAAAAAATGACGGCGATCCAAGCAAACAAATGCATCACCGCACAGAAAATACTGCATGTTAATTATAATAACTACCATATTAGTGAAATGATGCCAGTTTATTCTGTAATTCACGATATATATATGGATGTCCCTGTGCTTAAGTAACTAAGCACTGCGCCATAAAGGTGTATGGGGGAATGAATGCATAGATCCACGTATTCTTGACCTTGGCACTAGTTGAGGGAGAAAGTGGTCAGCTTCACGCCCCGGCCGAATTAACCCCAGGAAATAAGCTCAGTACCCACTGGATAGGAAGCTGAGTGGGCCCCAGTGCCGGTCTGGACAACGTGGAGCAGAGAAAATTCTTGACCCGTAGCCAGTCGGTATACGGACTGCGCTCTCCCAGCTACTATACGTATATATACGAGTATAAACTACGGGTACAAAATAAAGATTATTTTTATTTTGGCTCAGATAATACATGTATTTACCATTATTCTTCAAACGGAAATACTTCATTCACTTCCTGGAAAATCATGTTTAAAGTGATTCTTAATTTATTCCTTTAAGAAAATGTAAAGATAATACAGCATCTGAATGAAAATTGTGATAAATGCAGCAAATGAATAAATCCAAGAAACTTAATGAACTGCACGCGATTTTTGTGATTGCGAAACGTGACAGCTCATCGCTCAGAGAGACAAATAGTGTTCGGGCCACAAGAGGAGAATGGACAACAATGACTATGAGTTTCCAGTTTCCTACCGTGGACCTAGTAGAGAACACCTACAAATATCATGAAAGTTACAGTGAACTGTTGGCCATGTGCAGAATGTTAGGGCGATGTGCAAGTTTTGAGGTTAAGTTTCGGCGCGATTCCAATCCTCATTCCCCATTCATTTTTTAATTGAATGAGAGAGTTTCAATCCATTCATTTGAGCGCAATTTGTTCTTAAAGAGACTAATAACATCTCGAGCGAATTACGAATTGCCCGGTTGTTGGCGTCCTAAATAAACGACGCTGGAATCATTTTGTTACGTAGGAGCAAAGAGGAGCCAATATCACATCGTGCTTCGGAAAGTGACAAATGCCGAAGTTAAGCCTGGAAGATAGTAAAAAATAGATATTAAGCAAATTGTTTCTGATGACCTGATATGGATTTAACTGGCTCTGGAGAAAGTAAAGGTAAAGCTATCCCTGTAGCAGGCAGTGGAGGCCCATAGGGTTGTGAGACGTCGAGGCTCCCACATTATCTAGACAATCGGCTCACAGATGGCGGTGAGGTTATCAGCCTTACGCGCCGGCCGCCCTTTACCCCCAGGAAGATTCCTGGTACTCATTTCTGTTAGAGGCTGAGTCGACCCCAGGGCCATAGTGTGACTGGAAGGATTAGGTCAACTGAAAAGTCCTATAATATTGAAAAATGGAAAATTTGTGTCCCACTAGGAATTGAGCCAGAATAGCTCAGTCGGTATAGCGATAGGTTACAGGCTTGACAGCTGGGGTTCGATTCCCGGCAGAGGCAAATTTGTTCTCTTCCCCAAATGGTCCAGTCCGGCTCTGGGTCCCACCCAACCTCCTATTCAATGGGTACCGGGAGTCTATTTCTACGGGGTTAAAGATGCCAGGGCGTGATGGAAACCACTCATCTCGATCTGGTGCAGAGACCAAGAGCGATGGAGCTATACCTCCACTCCCCCTTATGTCTTCATAGCGTAGAGCTAATTAATTAAGCACAGGGACATATTAACCTTTTCACCTTTACCTTTACATAGAAAAGGAATTGGTTCTACAAGAAGGAAACATTTCTCTCTCCTTGCTTGTCCCATGGAGGAAGTGAGAATCATATTTTTAACGTGTGTGTGCGTGCGCGCGTGTGTGTCGGATAACTTCTGAACGAACTGAGATTTTCTTAATATCTGACGTACACACCGAGCCTTCAAGGAACCGTCCTATATTCATGCATTTCAGTTATCTATAATACCAACATGGCGGCCGGGCAAACTTCTGACGTTGAAAGGAGAACAGCATTATTTAATGTATGTTCCTGTAATTTTGATTGGGGATAATAGTTTAAAACCTTTTTAAAAACATTAAAAACATTTTTATTTTTTGCGTACGAATAATATATGGAAAAACATGGCGCCTTTTCGAAACATAAGGAATTAGCTACTGATCTGATATTGAGGCTAATAAACTGTGTAAAGTTCTGTATGCACATAGATTATAAACGCACCCATAAATTCTGCATGAAACTTCCTTTATATTTTTAAGAGTGAGAAATACGGCGTTACTGCAAATTTTTAGGTTATAATGAAGCAGATTAGCTGAGTAGAGCTCTCCCATAATTTTATTGAATCCGAAAGTTCATTGCCCTACACACAAGAGCCCGCAAAGTGTCCGTACCTTGAGCCAGATGTATCCAGTCCACTTTTTTCCGTGCTTATCCTTGGAGAGACATATTAAGTAATATTAGTCTCCAGTCTATGTGCAGGTTTTACAGAAAGTCTCTTTCCTTAAGGTTTTCGTACCAGAACTCTTCTCCCACCCGTGCTACATGCTCCACCAATTTCATCCTCCGTGTTTTGATTATTCTAATAATATTTGTCAAGGAGTAAAATTATAAAGCTAACTAGTTCTCGCCATCCCCCTGTTGCTTTCTCAATCTTGGGCCCAAATATAAACCTCTATAGCCTGCTCTCAAACTCCATCGGTCTACTTTCTTCCCTCAACGTGATGGACCAAGTTTCATACCCGTACAGAACACGAGGCAACATTAAATTTTTGTACACATTAATCTTTACTTGACCGCTTCTGTGGTCTAGTGTTCAGAGTTCCTGGCAACAGATCCAGAGATCCCGGGTTCGATTCCCAGCACCACAAGATTTTTCTGAGAAGTAGGGGCTCTGGAACGGGGTTCACTCAGCCTCGTGAGGATAATTGAGGAGCTATTTCAAGGGAATAGCGGCTCCGGTCTAGGAAACCGAAATTATCGGCCTTGGGGATTCGTTACGCTGACCACATGACACCCTCTATGTGCTAAAAGTTGACACTAACTTCGCCGGCAAGCGGCAGTCGCTCGGTCGGTATGGTTTGCTTGCGAACTCAAGCCATGGAATTTGTTTTTGTTTTGTTTTGTTAATCTTTACCTCATTTTATAGCAAGTGAGAAGACAAAATTTCGGAACAGAATGGTAACAAGAATTACCCAAATTGAACCTGTACTTAATTTCTTCACGAATGTGGTTCTTATATGAGTACTCGTATGTCAGTGTCGTTTCTAACCATTTGAAATTTGTCACGTTTTCTTTTATGTGACAAGTTTGCCGTAGCCAGAATCTACACATCGCTGCAAATCACGCACAGAAACGGAACGCTGAATTGTGAGATTATTAATTCTCCCACTTCTAACTAACTCTACCCTTCAGAGTCTGTATGCTGACGGTAGTGTTCTCTGAAGAACCGGTGGCTCCTGCTTTACTTAAATATGTAATACAGACTGAAGAGCCCATAGGTTCTTTGCAGAACTACCTTTTCACTTCTCATTGAAGACGACTCGGTAATATGAGCCACAATTTCGCGAACCCTTTCTAAACTTAATTCATGAAAAAGACATCGGCAACACCGCTGAGCTTACTTGCCGGGTCTCTTGACTCCGTCAGAGCTTTCTTGAACTCGGATGAGAAGGCCATTACTTCCCCGTCGACAGATGTTCGATTCCTAGCAGACACTCTTCTGAGACATTCATCCTCTGCCACATCAGAGAAAGGGATTGAGACCTGCGAGGATTGGTCACTGCCGTTTAACGGTGATACAGTGTCGAACACACGGTCGCTAGCGGGCAGAAGTACCAGCAGGTCTGTTGCACATTGCAGTATGCCGCATCCTGGCACCTCACTGCCTGCCTCTTCCTCAGCTTGAAGCATGTCCGGCGCATTGAAATCACTGACGGTTGCGGGAGAGAGACGGCAGTCTGCGCGGCGCGGTGTGGGGGCGTCCATGTTGCGCGTCTGTAGGACTGCATGTAAGCAATTAGCGATAAGGGCAGCAGTTAGAGCTTATAGTAGACTCTATCAAAAGAGATGGGTTCAACCCTTCAGCAGAGTAGCAACTACATATACCACCTGCTCTGTATTCTGTCCACAGATTCCATTATGCGTTTCGTATGAATCTCACAATAAACAGCGATTCTACCTCAGACAGCAACATCGGGTTGGTCTTTGTAATTGAGTCCATGTCTCGAGAAGAATGTCACCTGCGTGTGAGTGGGGAATCCCGAGGAAGGTGCATGAACCATCAGCTAAGCAAGTGTTCGGAGAGTCAGAAGCGTGCAAGAACTGGGCGAATGCTATAAAACCCCGATCTTGTAGCTTGGAGTGGACTGAGCATGCTATTAGAGTGTATCAAACTAGAGTGGCTAAGAAAATCTGTCGAAAGGAAATCCGAACATGGAATCAAAGTAGAGGGCCCACTTTTAAACGGCTGGAAGGTGGAGAAAATGATTTACAAGATCCGAAATTGAAGAGGCAAATAAAGGAATGGGGGGGGGGCTGCCGTAAGGTTGGCAAGGTCCTCAGAGTACCTAACATCAAGGACAACGTAGTCACAAATTAATTATTAAATAATTCCGGAGGATAACAAGGTTTGTGCAATTATGAGTGTGGTGTAATAAGTCGGTGTGCTGTGTTGCTATAGCAAGTGGCTGTTTCAAGGCCATTTCATTTAATTTATGAAGATACAGACATATTATTTTCAGGCAATATCTTTTGAAGCCTGATGTCGTTCTGTATACAGTAAACCCTCCCTAATCCGGAATAATGTGGGGGGTTAGAGGTCATCCGGATTAGTTAAGCAAAAGTTAGCACTAAAAGGAAAAAGAAACTTAGAACAGAAATAAATGGAAAATGTAACGATAGAAGTAGTGCTGATGAAAATAAATAACAAAACGTCACTGTAGAGCGTTTATTTAAAAAGTATGAAAAGACAATACATTTATTCGTCAATAGAAGACTCAGAAGTTATACTTGTTTTCGAACGTAATAATGCAGATTTGGAAGAACTGTCAAGTTTTATCTGAACAGACAAGTGATTCATCTGCCTTCCTAAATGTCATGTGTCATTTTAAAGAACGTACTCAACTGTGAACAGCGTTTATAATTTTTCAAATATTTCGATCCGGATTAACTGTAACCAGATTAACGAGGGTTTACTGTAATATTAAAAACTCAGTTCCTACCATACAGAAAACACGGCATGTGTGCACCAGAAAACAACCGATTAACGCTGTTTATTCTGAGAATCATATGCATTACGTAAAGGCACTCTCTATGCAAAATGCAGACTTTCCTCACTTACTACTTCCGATCCGCCTTGAACTGCTATCCCAGAATTGTGGGGGGCTGAAACGTCACGTCACGTCACGTCACGTCACGTCACATATATCTCATATAATGAGAGCGTGATGATCTTCAGCTGTTTACACAAGCACCTCATGTTGTTGCAATAGGGTAACCTCAAAATGGCGTCTTGCCGAGGTGGTCTCATTGACTTGTACGTATGTTGGTTGCTATGCAACTGGTCAGCACTCCACAGAACAGAGAGTCGGCTGGTACGAATCAATGCTACACGCTGATAAAATTCACTCCACTGACCTTCACAAAGCCATCAGCGTAATGCCCGCTGAAAATTCAGAGGGAAGCCTTGTAACTGCCTAAAATAATTGGCATATTTAGCCGTTTGCCTATGTTTTTTAAGTATGCCGTGGAACTTGGAATTCTTTTGTGAGGTCTTGAGCAAGAAATCTGAGAATAAGGCAATTTCTGCCACCTATGTTAGGTCCAGAGAGGTCCAGCCAATCGGGGTAGATCCTGCGGATGATGGTTTCCAGATGTGGAAAGAGGATGACGTGATTTTTGTGGTTTTAACGGATAGAAATATATACATTCGATGCAGGGGTGAACTCTGTTCGAATGCAGCCAATTGGCAATAAGGAACTGGTGTTAGCGACGGACGCCACTGCTTGAAGGCGATGCGTCGCTGGTACGGTTCATCTCGGGCGGGGCTTTTTGTTTCAATTTGATAGTCAACGGACATGTTTTGTGAGTTCGGAAATTAGTTATAATAAATTAGCGCCAGTAGTGACTAAATTGACGCGAGGTTAGAAAGCGAGCACCTCGTTATGACTCGTCGCTTCTGCGAATTAAGTAACTCATTGTTAAGGGTATAAACTGGCCAAGTAAAATAAATACATTTACCATCAAAATGAATTATCGTGGTTTGTCGTATGGCGCATGACCGCTGTGTTTACCTGCTAATGCGACCCTTGGGGCAAAGGGAAACGTTTGTCAGCTGAATTACCCACCTTTACCCACTCACACCTCAGCTAAACACCGCCCAAGCAGGAGGTCGTAAAGTAACCCCCCCCCTCTCTCTCTCTCGGTCTTTGTAGCGTTAAACCTTTCAATTCTGAAATTCATTATAGATAATATGCTGGTACTGATTAATGCAGAGGGTGAAGCATTACGATCTGAGATTCATAAACTCCTCAGTTTTATTTGAAATAAGGAACAATTGCCTGATCAGTGGAAGGAGTCTGTTTAACCTCTATTACAAAGATCAACAACCATTTGCCGCTGGCTAGGGAAATAATCGCTGATTATTGTGAGAACCATACGAAACACGTAAACACGCGCACTGTGTGGGAGAATTGCAAAATGTCTGTATGTTGTATCATGTGTTTGCAGTAACGACTGGGCATTATAGGCTCGACAGTGCAGCCCTCATAGGCACGTGGGCACACTAAAGACACGGAGAGTTGCCGAGAGAGAAATCGTGAACTTGCTTAGAAATTTTCATGACGTCCAAAAAAAAATATATATTTTTTTTTTCTCTTTACAGATGGAGCTCTCATAGTAGAAAGTAAGGTGCATCATACGAGAAGAGGAAATATGTATATAAATGTTAGTTTTGATTTAGAAAGTGTAAACTGCAGCGTTCAATCAGGTAGTTAAGAATCTGCTCCAGCCTTCCAGATCCTAAGAAGGGACCACATTATTCACATTTACAGATTGATGCATTTAAAACAAGTGCCATAACAGGAAACGCATTTTAAATCTCAGAATATGACGGCCGCTTTTTCTGGATCCCCGCATCTAACATCCCTTCAATACTTGTGTCGGGTTTCCAAGGAACACACGTACCACAACTACCCAAGAAGCATACAGCAACTGAAAGCTAATACTGGAAATACCGCTGGCTGCATCACGGCGGAAACTCCTGCACGTGACCCTCGGAACGCGGTCATACATCCGTTCAGAGCAATGGAGGCCACTTCCGGGGTGCTCTGTGGCCACTGACTTATGTTTCACGTTCCGTGAGATATGGAACACAGTATCTACAGTGTTCTCTCTTTGGCTATGGTTTGAAATGGACAGTCGCTTTCGTCAGTGGAAAGCAACAGAGGAATGTGGGCGTTAGTTCCTAATTTATGTGGCTTGCCTTAACTCTTCTGCTAGTCTCTTCTTCGGGGAAGTTGGCCAAGCTATTATGCAGAGTGAAACCTGAGACCAGCGGCGACAGACATTCTGTGTTTGAACTGTCACCTGTGTCAAGTTCGAGCTAATGACATGCGAAGCCTTGCGCTTTGTTTGCTTGGCTTTCACTCGAGAGCTTCTTCGGTAAATTCCTGGCATCCGGGTACCCCGACTTCCTGTAGTTTCTCGGTTTGCGGTCAGTCTTTGAGAGCATAATGGTGAATATACAAGTACGAACCATCTATGAGTATTTTAACATGAAACACTCCTCATTTTACCCATAAAATGTGCCTACTTGTTTCATATGTTTATCGCAACAAACAGGGATTTTTCTTACATGGAATTTGCCCATTGTCTAGACTCCAAAGTATCAGACGATATGTCACAATGTTTAGGAAATCTGATCTGCTCCATTTCTCAGGTGAGGGCTATCTACTGAGATGGGTGTGTTAGAAACAGTTCATGCAAACGACACTGACCCACCACAGTAGCTAAACCCACCTGAAGACGGGAGCAGCTCTATGTCCCGAAACGTCCTGTTATATTTCAGATTATCAGACGATTGGCGAAGTTCATAAAGTCGCAACACGTCATCATCAGAATCTTCGAGAAACGAGTGTTTTCCTTCACAACATTAACCGGTTAGTCCTTGTAGTTCAGACTCAACGTGTTTTGAATCAGGGTGGAACTAAATAATTAAAATATAATTTGGACAACCTTCACAGTTTTAGGGATTAGCAACGATAGTCATGTAGTGGTGCTCTGTCCAAATGGGCCTGATCTCGATAATAATATATAAGATTTTTTTTTTAACTTTGTCCATCGTCCGATATTGTAGAAAAAACCATACAGAGTATAACCTTTCGGAAACTTGATCTGACTTAGTCCTCAGGTGAAAGGGAGGCACCTGTTGGGTTCGTTATATAAAGCTAACCTCATTCACTGGTCACCTCTTTCTAATGGACCCAACAGATTATGTGTCTCTCCCCTTTCACCTGAGGACGGAAACAGATACAGTTTCCGAAATGTTGTGTTCTCTGCGTTTTTTAGAATACCGGACGATGGACAAAGTCCGGAAACCCAGTGATTCGAGCGTTATATACAACATCGTCAGAACCCTTTAGAATCTACGTGAATCTGGGGCATTGTTGGCATGACGAGTGGCAAAGGAAGTCTAAAATTACAAATATAAATCACTCCGTCACAATTTGTAATTGTTAATGTGACGGACCAGAATGAAACAAATCAAAATCGAAGTCTAAAATATTCAGAGAAATACCTCCCCCCAAAAAATCACATTTCGAGAGTTCTGGAAGTGAAACCACATCTCCGCGATAAGAAGCCTATATCCAGCATCCTTAGCAATGGAGTGGCTGAAATACTTCAGTAGATAAGTAGCGAAGTAACTGACTACTGCTAAGTAAGTAAGGGAGTAAATACAAACAACTACCCACCTAAACTTGCGAGGTTTGATTACCGACCTAAGTAAGTGGCTAGAATTTCTTATGTCATCGATAAATTACCAAGAGCGTCGCCAGAATATTTCCAAAGGGGAACAGACAAATTTCTAAGGGAGTTCAGCCAGAAAATTTGCTTAAAACTTGTGTTTAAGCCATTTAAGGTAATTTTTACTGCTCTCCCTATGTTATTCAGAATAGAAAGATATTTTTGAAAATGTATATGTAATTTTCATTATCAGTGTTGGGTATATTTTCTTACTCCTTCAATTGCGATCATTTTCCAAAAAACTGAAGAGAGGTAATTCATTTGTCCCGCTTTTTCTCTGTCGGCGCCCACAGTCATATAGTATGCTTGTTTTTTATTAATATTAATTTATATAATTGTAGTTGTAATTGTATTTACACTGTATTAACACTGTGTGTGAGGCCGCGCCATAGCTCAAGCGGTTCGTGGCTGGCTTCCCACCGCGGCGGCTCGGGTTCGATCCCGGGTCTGGTCAAGTGGGATTTGTGGTGGACAAAGTGGCACTGGGACAGGTTTTTCTCCTAATACTTCGGTTTCCCCTGCCAATCTTAATTCCACCAATTGCTCCAAAATCACCCTCACCTATCATCTGGGGCTGGTACAATAGGCCAGAAGTGGCCGCAGTAAAAGGGACCTAGTCCCACCCCACTAGCAATAAAGGAAAACATTGTGTGTATTGTGTCCTTTATTGTTTGTGTAGTTTTGTGTGCTGTGTTTTGTTTGAGTGTGGTGTGTTATTTTGTGTGATGTTATTTGTGTGTTGTGTCTTACTGTAGCACCACTTCCACCGGGCAAAACCCCATTTCTAGTTAAAATAAATACCAATAAAATAAAGTTTGTTGCGAAACCCGAGGGGTTTACCCCCACACGGTGGAGTACGGAAGCACACGTACCCACTCTCGTCTGCTGTGAAATTATCATACAAGTATACGTGCTTCTTGCAGACTTACAACAATGATGCGCAGATAGGAGAATCTTCAGCTTGCGCCACAGCCTTGCTATGCGGCGTCAAGGCGAACTACGAGACCGTAGGAATCGACTCCGAAGGCAGATTGAATAACTGCCACTCAAGCTTGTCGTCGAGGGTGCCGTCCCTGTTCAACTGGGCCCAGGAACAAGGTGAGACGAATTCTGACCTTGACAACAAACAAGGGTGAAAGGTCAGCTGCACGTTCCGGCCTCACTGCCTCCAATGTAGCCAGTTACTTTACTGACTAAGCTATCCAGACTCAAATTAAGAAGAAGTTTTCTTTAAAATTAGTAAAAAGGAAATGTTTAGCAATGTAAAGTTTCCTAATTTAGAGTAGGGGTTTCCAACTTTTCCCAAGTGAGATAACGCAGTCTTAACGAAATATGCTGTATTTTAGCCACGTGGAGGGCGAAAATGATTTATAAACGTTTTAGAATCGGTTCTTAGCTGAAAGAAAACACAGCCTACACCCATTACAAAATTCAACTGTGTTAGCTGGACCAGTCTCTGCCTGTTCTGAGAAACGGATGAAACACAAACACATTGTATCGCTGAACTTTCAAAGACGTTCTAAATTAGCACTCACACTTCTCACAGTCCCTGCGCAACTTCGTCGATGTATTAAAATTCACACTTCAAAGCCATTCAAACTTCCTATTATTCGAAAACTACATGTTTCGGACCAACGGGCTGCTATCATCATTTGTGCAAGATTGTAAAGGAAACTGCTGCTCCGTTGTCGCGCTCTTGAACTTGGCATTTTAAACAACAAAATAAGAACAAACTCCGTGGTTGTAGTCAGCAAGCGAACTCTACCGACCGAGCGAACGCCGTTTGTCGGCGAAGTTTGTGCCAACTTCTGCGGATAGAGGGTGTCACGTGGTCAGGGCAACGAATCTGTAGTCAGTCAGACCACAGTGCGGTAGTGTACTTTGCATTTTAAATGTGTAAAATGCTTATAGAGTATTTTCAAATTATTTTAAAATATAATGTCGTGATTATTTTGTCACGTGCTCAGATGTGCAGAGCGGCGTGAGCCTGGCCGCTCACATGTGGCAGGCTTCAGGCAGGTGCCCACCAAAGGCGCCTGAGGTTGCAGATAGAAGCATTTCACCTGCTGTGGATCATCTGCAGAGATGTGAGGTCGTTATCAAAGTTAATGCGAACGCAACTGTCACAGAGGAACTCGGGTTCATGACGAAGAGTGCAAGAAAATCAGCAAAAACTGAGCGTGAGATTTCTCAACTCACTGGCAGGAGACCTAGCTTATAGGGCATGTAATCACTGAATTGGAGGAAGAAGAAAAACCTCGACAGTCACACGAAACTGGGGCCGCACTGCAAGCAGGTGCTCTGTCACATTTCAGTCATCTAAGTTACGCTGCCCTATAGTCTTGCAGGAACGTACGAAACTCCCCGAAACGTTTGGTAACCACCAACGAGGCTTCACAGTGTCATGACTCAAGCCACACTCTAAATCTACATCGCTGTGTTGTTTCCTGGGAACTAATTACTGTTTACTGTGAGAATTACACCTAACACGTACTGTGTGAGCAAAGTGCTCAGTTTTGTAATGATAGTTATAGTAACTAGTGTGCTCTAAAGGGTTAAGATTATGTGCTTCCCTGCGACAGAGGTAAGCGCTGCACTGTACGGGCCTAACGAGTCCTCTTCTACAGGGAAGGCTACAGGACTGGTTAGCAACGCGCGACTCACGCACGCGACGCCCGCGGCAGGCTATGCACACTCGGCGAGTCGCTATTGGGAGGACGACAGCAAGATGCCGCCAGCGTCGCGACGCACCTGCAAGGACATTGCGCGCCAGCTGGTAGAGGATCAACCGGGTCGAAGCATCAATGTAAGTAGTAAGCACTAGCGCGTTGCAGCTGGCAGTCTGAAGTCGGGGAGACAGAGCTTTCGGGTGGGGATTTAGCTCGTTGGGGGTCACAGACTTCAGGGCGTCATCCGTTAATTTCACTTTCAGGTAAAGTGCTTAATTAAGCACGACGCCATGAAGATTCGTGGGGGAGAGCTGATGGTTCGAAACATTCTTACTGTGTCACTAGATGAAGGGGAACTCTTAGCGTTACTCCCGGCAGATTTATCGCGGAAGATGGACACCGGAACTGGATCCTGTGGAAAATACATGCATCTCTTCAATTCTAAGAGATCGAACCCCGTTTCTTTGTTCGTCAAGCCCTTAATCTGGGCATTACACCGAAAC